AATCATTTTATATCAAAACATTTACAATCCCATTTTGTTTCCGACCTTTTACACATTGTAATAAGAGAAAGGAATGAAATCCACGGTTTCTTTAGCTTTGGGTTCATCTAATAAGTCAAGTTTTTAAATTTTAAATGCAAGTATTTCAAATTAATCACATCTCTAACTATTACCCATTTGGCATAAAATTCAGCAAACCGTCATCTATTTTAAAACCGAATCAGGAAATCAGGATGACCTAAATCAGCTATACCCTAATAATCTTCGAGAGGTGCATAATTTCTTTTTTCTTTTTAATGTTATACACCTCTTGAAGGTTGAAGGCCTAGTACTTCGCACTTTTTCCCTTATTATATGAAGAAGTTCACTCAATAATATTATGACGGATATTTTTATGAAACAAAATATATGAGTAAATTTCATTCCACACTTAATAAATTATATCGACTTCTGTAATTTTGTTGCAAGCATCATGCTACTTTACTGCAATGGCGGGGTACGTTCCTTTTTCCCTTTGGTGATAGTTTTCTTGACTTGGTAACGTCGCACACGTATTATCCATCAAAGAGCACGAGACAGAGAACTAGCTCTGTCACTCTGTAAACTATGAAATATAATTCCATTATTTGGGTAGATAGTGGGTCAATAAAAACTCATTATAAATCAATAAATACGTGAATATAATTATCATTAGTTTAATGTCCTATGTGCGGATGGTAGTAAACTAAGACAATAGTAGATTAAAAAGCAAATATTGAAAAACTAAATACTTTTTACGAATGATCCTATTTTCAATAAGGTCAAAGTACTTTACATTTTAATGACATGATCATACATTAATTACATTTTCCATAGTAGGTAGGTACACATTAAGAAAGCATTATTGTTGTGTATCTGCTTAAATCCAGATAATAATAAAAAACAAAATGAAATGAGGACTACAGTATAATATCGATATATCTCAGCAGTTTTAACCATAACATGGTGATACAAATTTCATGGAAAACCCTACCATTATTCGTACCATTCTGTATATGACCAAACCAAAATTTAAATAAATAATAATTGCAAGCAGACTGTCTTTACGAAAGAAACAGGCTACATGCTACATTAAATATTAGTTTAGTAATTTGCGAAAAAATTAATTATGAATTTGATACTTTTTTACTGGAGTCTTGTTTTGATTTTAATTTTATTTAAAAAAGCTACTACTCATTTGGTACTACTAGCGGCATCTTTGCTGAAAATTCAAGAACATCCTAGTTATAATATATATATAAAATATTGAAAATTACTCATAGGCAACCCAATGTACAGCTCTTTTAAAAAAAATCTCATACTGTAATGAGTATTTAAAACAGAAAACAGATTACTGTGCCTTCCTTAAAAAAATAAAAATAGCAGTCGTTTTTGCTTTATCAACTGCAGCCAAGATAAATAATTTGTGAATTTATTAATCAAACGATCGAATATAATAAATAATTTATTAATAATTTAATTAACAATTTCACAATTAACGATGGGTTATGTACCTCTATGCTATTTATTAACAAATGTTCCCTTTACAAGGATAATATAATACAATTAACTTATTATTTAATTGGTGTGTGAAAGGAAAACTGACAAACTTTAAAAATAGAATAATGTATGTCCATAAAGGGGCCGTTCATAAAATACGTTATTCAAAATTTAGCCATGTTAAAAACCTCTCTCCTTCGTCACGTTTTCTGAAAACTTTAATAAAAGTCAAAACTCTCCCTGTAAATGAATAATTGTAATTAACAACAGCATAGGTAGAAACATGAATAAAATGAAAAAATAAAAAAGTAACACTTTAAATGCCCCTTCTCCCTCCTATTTATGAACGTGTATTGTTAATGGCCATTAAGCAGCATTGTTTGCATACTCAATTAACATAAAGAGAATGACTTAAGATTTGTAGGAACAGTAGCAATAAAAATAACACACTTTAACATAAAAGCTCGCCTACGTAAAAAAATCACTATACTGAATTAAGACAATGTTTTTTTCAGCAATTTCACAGAAACTTTTGTTATTAAAAGACAACAATAGAAATCCTAAATGTAAAAATGAGGAATACTTACAGAATTAGCAATTAGTTTAAATAGTTGCAAAACGTTTCATATAAAAGTTAAAAAAAGTAAAATTTAGAAGATGGTACATTGCAACTAAACAATATTTTTTCATTTAAAGAAAACCAAGGAAACTACCATATCTAATGTATGTAAAGGAAACTACCGAGATTGACCTGTAAAAGTGAGTCAGAAAGAGCACAAACGACATACGTTCTGTGCAATTTAAACCTAGTTAGTGTCCAGACCATTAAAGGATTCTTCTGTCAGTATATTCAATATATTCAAGCAGTTTCCTTATAAATACATATATATCCTTTAAAAGGTCACACTATAGCTTTAGACTGAAAATATATTTAAAATTTTAATTAACACTGTGACTTATATTCAACTTACTTCTATTAAAAATAAAACCGCATTTTATATTTTAACCATGTTCCCATCTTTTAATGGAACTTCAAATAAGTGCATGATAATCAGTTAAAAATGTAATTTAATTCACCACAAGGTGGTACTTATTCACCTACAGGCCAATCTATACAGGGGTCTCGGCAGTCTTCTTTACATATCTAATTATCAGATAAAGACGTTATTGTAATCATAACTAGCGTACAATTGGAATTTTGAGCAACTACTTATTTACTTTAACAATATCTATAAATTACCAATGCTAAGAAGAACTATGATAAAAAAACTATTCCGTTCCATTCATATCACTAGTTCCTATTATTACATTTTTATACGATATATTATGTCATTTAATAAATAAACAAATAAAATCAAAGTATCACAGATTACATAGCATCAAAATGAAATCTATGAGACTCTTGTAATCTTTCTTTTTTATCTTCCTGTCGCTCTTTCCAATATAGAATTCCAATAATTAATGTTATTAATCCGCAAATTCCTGTTAATGCCGCCACAGACGTTAATATCACTTTGCTGGGCGTTACAAATAATTGCGCTTTCCATTTGGATGGTTCATTTGCAGGCCAAGGGATAACAACCATTTGTGAATTAGGAATAATCTGGTTGAATTCTTTGGAATAGTTTGATAAGCCCACTACTAATGTATCAACAAAATTGGGGGTTCGACCTAGCCCAAAAATAGTATAAGGTAAGTTGAGACTGAAATGGGCAGATTGAGGTAATTGAGCCGAAATACCATGCTGTTGATAGCCTTCTTGAGTGGTAGTTCTATATGATATACTTGGTCCTGGTAGATTTGTACCTGTGAAAAACAAAAATTAAGTACAAAACAGAACAGATAAAAATCAACTGGTAATTTAATTTTACCATAAGTTCTTCTCTTCTTCGCGACACGTCCATCAATCATGGCATTATTATCATTAGTTAAACCTGTAAGGACCATTACCTTTATGAAGTTTGCATCATAGTCTAGGGTATTTTTAAAAGCAGCAATTCTGTACTTGTGATCCGAATTTCTAACGAGAATTACGTCCAAAGTGCCATCTTGGTAGAAGTCAAAAAACACTGCAACTGCAGTACTATTTGTAAATGGATTCAAAGCATTCCACTGAATTTGGTAATTTCTTGAAAAACGGTCGCAACCACTTTTGCAAGCAATGTTCTCAAGCAAGAATGACCTCGTCTCTGAAGTTACTTTTGATTTCAAAGTGGTTAAAATATCTGGATAGCCATCCATGTTAAAGTCTCCACTGTGCAAAGTAATAACATTGGTATACTTTTCTTCCATTATTCGTGCAAAACACCAACCATCTTCAAAATTGACCCCAAGACTTTGCCAAGTATCATTCAAATATACCAATAAAGCACAATCTGTGCACTCTTTATCGTAACAAACAGGAGTGACAAGTTTCATTTGACCTTTTAATTCTACATCAATATACAAAGATTGTCCAATTACTTTTGCATGCTTTGGATGAGGTATAGTATGATTAAAAGCAAATTTACGCTTGCCCTCGCCGTACCAAATTTCAAATTCAGTTTTGCTTGTTATAAATAGGTCTGCACGAAAGTCATTATTTAAATCTAAAATTAAAGTGATTTGCATTTTTGGATTTAAAACCCTTTCTGGTAATTGTAATAATTTTATTAAAAAGTTATGTATTTAAAACATACCCAAGAATGCATGTGCATGGGGCCTGCTCAGTTCAGAAAGGTTAAAATGTCTTTCCATTGCCATTTCTTCTCTAAATGGTACTCCTCTAACTGAATCAAAAATCCAAAATGCTCTTTTTCCATCTTTATCAACTCCAAATAAATCTATTATCATATCTTCATTATAATCTAATGCCAGAGGTTGTCCTATTAATTTTAATACTGGTTCAGATTCTCTACTACAATTCATATATGTAGAACCACCCCAACAAATATGAACTGATGTTAGCGATGGGCCATTACTAATTTGATTATTTTCTGAACTAACTGTGGTCACAAGGACATCCATAAGGGCATCCCCATCAAAATCTCCTGGAACTACACTCGTAATGTGGTCCTCAAATTTGCATGTAAGTTTATTAGTCTTAGAACGACGTAACAACGGCTCTTCTTCTGCAGCTAGTAAAATCTCAACAGTTTTGCCATCACTTCCCAACACAAACACGTCCGTTAATTCGTCTGAATTGAAATCGCCAAAAGCTGCAGGTAGTACATCAGTAATTTCGCCAAATACCAAGTTTGTTATATCAGTTGCAAATGTAAAATTACAAAAATAAAATAAAAATAAAGCTTTTAATAAAAACGCCATGACTATTAAAATGACATTATTTTATGTTAAGGAATATCTGTCTTTAAAGTATTAAACTTGAAAGTATAAATATCTTTTTCTTTTTTTTACAAAACAAACCCACATATCACTGACACCACACTATTATATTATAAACATAGATTTAGATTGATGAGATTGATTATAAGCATAGACATCAATGTAAAACAATCACAGTAAAAAAATACATACTATCTAAAATCCATACCATATGAAATCTATATACCATAGACAATTTCATATACCATATCAGATGTCAAAACAAATATAGATGACTTCTATTATATATGGATGACACCGTTCATTTGCGTTCAATAATTTTAATCTACCTAAATTACGATAATTGTGTAAATATGGCACCCTACATGGACATTGAATTTCTCCCAGCGTCCCATATATTTTTCTTCTTGTTTAACAAAACTAATTGACGTACAATTTTCTATGAGGATATACTTTATGTATATCTATTATCTATGGTGGATATTTCGAACCCTAAATGACGCAAAATCTATTGGTAAAATTCAAATCAGCGGATTATTTATATCGGGTGCCAGATTCATTTGAATAGTTAAGATAATTAAAACAAATAGATTATCTAAAGTGTTGTAATATTGGGATAAGTCTTTGTTGCCTTACAATTAATTATTTTCTTTGCCACAATTTCCGTTATGTATTTTTTATAATTGTAATAAAACAGCGAAATATGAAAACATTAGGCGAATTGAAAACTTGTTTATATATTTCCTTGAAATAGATAAATAATACAATTACAAATAGTTAAGTGACTTTTAAATTACTTATGCCGATTCTCTCAAGTGGCATGACATAATAAAAATTTAAGTTTTAAACTAGTTTATTTATTTTTTGACATATCAATTTAATTAAAATTTTCAAACAGGGCGGTGATTTAATTATTTATTGTTATTTTATTGTTACATTGAAACGTATTATTATTACACTCTTACGCAAGCGCCTAGCCTGTTTAGATACCTGCTCCCACCACAAACGCATAATACACATAGTTTTTCGTCGCCATATTTGCGACGAAGTGTGTTAGTTTGTCTCGAAAACTATCGTCGTTTTCGACGAAAAGGGGGCTTAACCACCCCAGTTGGTTGTGAATTTGTGAAATTTTATATTACTATTTGGAGTGATTCTACTGGAAGTACACTAAAAGTTTGTTATTTTCTTTTTTGAATATTATAAACATGGCTTTCTAAGATGACGGGTCTGAAGCTGAGCGTAACCACCTTCAGTGGAGAAGAAATTCTCTCTCGACACCTCGTAGCAGTGAATGCAAGAAGAATTTCTAATGGAGAAATCGAAAAATCGTCCTTTGCAGCCCTATTTAAAGGGCGCAAGTAACGATAAAAAAAGTCAAGGTATGAGCCTATTACCTATTACCTGATGGTTGAAGGTCGTTAAAATGGCGTATCATGTAATTATTCACCAAATACTGAAAATTTGCCACATGTATGGTATTTGCATAAAAACAACTAAGTTACTGAGTTCATATAATCTATTTTGATGCAGCTATTGAATAAATAAATTCACTATATAATAAATTATAAACTGTCACATCATTTCATAATAGTAAAAATAAACAGTGCATATATAATATTATAAGATCGTGTTTAAATGCTGTGCTTTATAAAATTATATTTTTAGTAGTCTTTTCTGTCATAAACAGATGCATCAAATACAAAGGTATACTCTCGCGGAGGTCGCCGCAGAGAGCCTTCTGGAGGTTCGTTTTCTTCGAAAAATGATATTTCTCGCAAACCTATATCCCAACGTAATAACAAAATGGCTGATAAGCGTCCACGTCCCCGGGGCTACTATCATTCAGGGACGTTGGACGGAAACACGAGCTCCAGGATAGTAGATGAGGAGATTGAGTGTGGCTCAATTTTGGTATCAGGCAGTAAAAAGCAAAATCTTAACCATCTTCTTAATTTTCATTTTGAGCCCCGAGATACGCATTGGCGATCGGGACCTGGGGGGATGCCTCATAAAGTTGGAGGTCGACTGATTTCCACTTATAAACATAAGTATAATAAGGAGCAGTTCTTACAAGCAAAGTATACGTTCATTTATATGTGTTTATTAATAAACTTATGCACTTTATTTTAGTTGTCAATTTATTGTTAAAACAGGGGCTGATTATAAACTTCATATGAACAACCCTGATTCTCTTGTTAATTGGGACTTAATTGAACAAGTTGTAAGTCATGTCTTTTAAAATAACTCAATATTTTTATTTGAAAATATATATNGATACTCTGTACACATTTATAAATATATATTTAATAGTCGACTTCGCTGCAAGACTTCTATTGTTCTACCTTCCACCCCAGAATTAAGCAACACGCCTTATCAATTTAACGCGTGTGCTGATATTCCCCCAACAATAGTAAGTTCTCGAATATCAGTATGTGAAATTTAACACAGAACATTAAAAAATTTAAGAAATCTAAACGAATATATTCTTCGAATTCAATATTCTTAAAGTCAGTATAACGTCTGTCGGGTCAGCTAGTAATCAATACTTCTTCAGAATAAAACTCCTTATCTTTTTTAAAGGTATACGTTGTGGTTTCAAGGTTCATCCGAGGTCTTGACCTATTAAGGATGGAAAGATTTTAACCTTTAACCCTACAATCCTGTTGCTAAAGTGGCATGCATATTAATAATGTTTTATCTTGTGACTTTTATGACTTTTCATGTTTATCATTGTTAGTTTACCAACGTTTCATAAATGCGATAAACCCTGGAAACGATTAATTCGAAAATAAGAACATGAACTCACAACATTTTAACTAATCGTAAGTAACTTGTTAATTAAGAAAAACTATAAACACACAATTAAATGTCTATGATGACGGTATAAATTAATGCATGTCCTTTGCTTGCCGATAATTGTTTTATTTATGGTGTTTCATTGCATATATGTTTACGTGGTTGTAACTTATTCAGAGTCATAAAATTCAGAGGTCACGTTAAATTTAATTAGAATAAATGAAAAAGTTAAAGTAAGTATTAAATTGATCAATAACTTCTACCATTTGTTACGTAATATTATATATAAAAGAAATTATGAGTGCTGTCAGCACAAGGCAAAGTAGTATTACGTAAATGAAAGTTAGTATCAGCAATTAATTATGTTGAAGTGTACGATGTACGATGTGTTCCTTACCTATTTACAAACAATTCCATTGATTACTATACATTGAAAACCATAATGGCCGACATAAGTAACAATGCGACAACAATTGAAAAAGAATGATGGCCGACAACTGCAACAATTAGAAAATAATGATGGCCGACACTACGTCATAGTGGAGCAATAAAAA